TGGCAGGGGGGGGTGACTGGATGAGTTTTGAGGTCCCTTCCAACCCAAACCATTCTGTGATTCTATGAAGATCCAGAGGAAGAGAGCCCAGGAAGGGAGACAGAAGCCCTACATCAGGGTCACAGCCCTGGGGTGAAGCCAGCTCCTGAGGCACTCTGTGCTGGGAGGGTGATTTAATCTGAGTGGATCAGCAGAGAGGGTCAGCATGGCACAGGCAGCCCTGCCTCTTGCTGAAGCAAAGGATAACTCCTGGCACAGGGTAAGGATGCAGGCAGAGCATCCCCAGCCCCTTCTGGGGGACATCCCTAGCTCATGGAGCACAGCAGCAGCAAAGGAGCTTCTGTCTCCTGGGTGGTCTCTGCTGGGAACAGACTCGAGCACTAGCTTGACATCGTGCAATGAAAGTCAGCATTGACTGCTCTGTGCAGGAGGAGTGGGCGAGTGAAGGGCACGCAGTGCCATCACCTGAGTCACTGTGTCCCATCTGCCACCCCGGAGCTCAAACAGAGCTCAGCAGGTGACAGGAAGAGATAAGAATCATCTAAATAGCCAGGAAACATTACCCAAGGATGGACAGCACAATGCTTAATGGGCAATTAGCACTGCCCCTAATCAAAGCCTGCTCCAATCAACACTATTGGCTTAATGAGTGAGGGGGACACAACAGAGAGCAGGAGAGACATGAAAACACATCACCAGTCGAAAAAAGCTTGTGCTGTGTTCCCACCCGGCTCCATCCATCCATCCATCCATCCATCACAGCAAGGGACCAGCATGGGCAAGGATGGAGTGCAGGGACTCATCCTCTCCCTGGGGCTGCGGCAGGGACAGCCCTTATCAAGCTGATGGATCTGATTTAAACTGACCTCCTGGGCAGACTGAGGCCTTGGAGAGGTTAGGGCTGTTTGAGACTTGTGGATTGGGGGAAATTTGCTGCAGTAGGGCCCAGGGCTATGTGGAAGTCGGTGCTTAACCTGGCAGGGACCCGCTCAGCCCTCTGATCCTGGGGACTGCTGGAGCAGCCGTCAGAAAAACAGCTTTATTTGTGAGTAAGGAAACCGGATCTGGAGGCACCGGGTGATGATAATAACCACATGTGCTTCCCAGGGCTATTTTTCCATAGTCCTTTTTCAGAGCAGAGACACATTTTCGCATTGTTTCTTTCCCTTGAGTGTAAACAACTCCCTTGCCCAAGACCTTCGTCCCCCTCCCCAGCCACGGCAGCTGTGGCTCCAGGCTGCCTGATGTCTGCAGAAAGGCAAAGTTCAGCTGCAGCAGCTTTCCAAGAAAGCAACACCAAAGCCGTCCCTCCTCCCCCCGATTCTTTCTCTCCCAACAGCTCAAAGGAAACATCCGAAGCATTTCCCTTGAGTGTAAACAACTCCCTTGCCCAAGACCTTCGTCCCCCTCCCCAGCCACGGCAGCTGTGGCTCCAGGCTGCCTGATGTCTGCAGAAAGGCAAAGTTCAGCTGCAGCAGCTTTCCAAGAAAGCAACACCAAAGCCGTCCCTCCTCCCCCCGATTCTTTCTCTCCCAACAGCTCAAAGGAAACATCCGAAGCATTTTGCACAGGGTTTTATGGCTGGGCTGTTGCTTCTATTTTTAAATCAAGGGAGAAAAGACTTGGAGGTATTTATAAATAAAGGCTGTATGAAAACTAGCCTCTTATCCATAGAGTGATAATTGCACTTCTTTTACACGAAGCCACGGAGATGGCGGGTGCACGGGCACACCCCTCCCTGCCCGCTGCTTCCACACAGCCATAAACCAGAACAAACCAACCCCAAATGACCCCAAACCAAACCCCAGTGATTACAAGCCGGCAGCAGCTGGGGGGACAAACCGTGGTGGCTCAGCAGAGCGACCCAGTGTGATCAGAGAGCACGCACCGGTGGCTCCGGACAGGAGGTTTGTTGGGGATACCGAGTCAGTCATTTTACTGTGTTCCTGACCCAGCCTCTAGCCGGAAGCAAATCTTCCAGGCTTCCCATCTTCTCACCTTATGGCAAGTTCCAACCCAGCAGACATTTCATTTACTGTGACCTTCTGGAACCAACTATCTTAAAACACATCTCAAGACCAGCTCTTTCATCTAACACAAACCCTTCACAAGCCAGATAACATTCTGTCCACTACATAGATAATATATTTTGGGTGGAAGAGGTACCCCTGCCTACAGCATGCCTGATGCTGCTGGCTACCTTGTGTCTCTTCTGTCTGAATCCTTCCTGACCCCCCTCCTCTGCAGGGTAACACAGACAGCAGTGCTTTGCTGCCAGCGTCTGTTGAAGGACTTTTGAAGCCACCTCAGTTAACCCACATGTATCAGTCCCAACCCGCCTCTCATCTAACAGCACCCATCGGAAGTGTCCACGCAAGAGCAAGTTCCGTAGCTTCCCCCCACGCGATGGAGACCAACCGTTTGCTGAAGCCAGGATCATGGCTTGGAGCATCTCCGTGTCAAACTGGTTGTTCGGCCAGGCTCCACCTTCCTCTCCATTCTGGGAGCTACGGGAAAAGAAAAGAAACAGCAAGTTACTGCAGCTCAGTACAGAGGAATAGGCATGTCAGAGAGCAGGAGAAGCCAAGGCTGTGGGCTTGTCTTCTGGTGGAGAGGAGTTTGCAGGCTTTAAAACCTTCTATTAAATAACACTCAAGAGTCAAAACATTTTCAGAGGTCTCCATCCCTCTACAGGCTTTTGAAGAATAACCGCCAATACCAAAAGCATTTGGGGGCTCAGTGGTGCTTCCAGCAACACCTGCCTACCTCCCACTGACTTCAGAGACAGCCAGCAGCTCAAAATCCCAGTAGGTGCCTTCCCACCAATGTAATACCACAAAAAAGCTGGTCCTAAAGTCCCAGAGCTGTCCCTTGTACAACCAGGTCCTCTGTTTCTTCTGCAGCCCATGTGAGTCGATGCCACTCTCAAGCTATTTCAGGCTCCAATGCTGGTCTGCAGCTTCATTCATGAGACTGAGGGTGAGAAAACCCCACAGCATGATGGGATTTGGGATCAGCATGGAGCCAGCTTTCCAGTGCCATGAAATGTGCTCTGAAGGGAGTCCAAGAGAAGCCACCAGCTCTGCAGAACCAGCAGCAAACAGTTCTGGGGAGGCTGGAGCAATGGGGAGAGGAAAGAAGGGAGCTGGGTGCCCACCTTGGGTCCCTGGGACTGGCTGATGAGGGTAAAGAGCACCACAGATCTGCCTGGGAAATTTCTGGGGATGTTACCAGGCTTTGATTAAGGAGGGTTTGTGAACGAGGTTACTATCAGCAGCCTGTGTACAGTCTAACAAACCCCACATTCATGTTTGCCAAGTGCCAGCTGTGCTTGGCCACCGCTCACCGATGGTGGCCTTTCCTCACCAGAGAGGTCAGGGCTGTGCTCCCAGAGCCTCTGTGGAGCCTCACAGCTTCCAGCAGAGATCTAAACATGGAATCATAGAATCACTGAATGGTTTGGGTTGGAAGGGACCTCAAAACTCACCCAGTTCCACCTCCTGCCATGGGCAGGGACACCTCCCACTAGCCCAGGCTGCCCAAAGCCTCATCCAGCCTGGCCTTGAACCCCTCCAGGGATGGGGCATCCACAG